GAAAGTGGTGAGGGGGAGTTGTTTGTTTGAATTGGATGATGTGACTGGTTGTGCCTGAACTGCATTTGGAGCCCTGGCACAGTAAGGCTGATGAATTAATCCTCCTGGTGTGGGCGACCTTGGCAAAGCCCAAACTGGAGTACTACTATGTCCAGTTTTGTACAGTGCCTTCCAAAAACAGTGTGGTCCATTGGCAAGAAGCCGGAGGCGAGATACAGAAATCAAACAAGGTCTAAGGAACATGACTTAAAAGGAGAAAGCAGGATGCCCAGTCTGGAGATGGGAAAATAGCAGGGAAAAAAATGAAAACAGCACCTTCGAACAAAATGCAGCTGCAGAAAAAAAAAAAAAAAAAAAAGACAAGTAACAGACTCAGCCTGTAAAAGCAGACATTTGATCAGACAGCATGAAAATCTTTCCGAAGGAGAAGGCCACTGCACGCTAAAGCAGCCTGCTGTCTCCAGGGTCGTTTGAGGACAGCTTAGACAGACCAGCTTTGTCCTCGCCTTAGTGCATGGGGCTGGTCGTGCTGTCACCACCACCCGGCATGGCCTGGCCGGGCAGCCCTGGCTCTGGCTACTGGCACTGCCGAGGTGGTGACCGCTCAGCAACGGGCACGGCGGCGATTGGGGTCTCTGTGCAGTGAACACCTCTTGAAGATGCTTCCAGGGAGATTTTGCTGGCTGTGCTGACACCTGGACGCGGTGCTCTACCGCAGTAGCCGGTATAGCCCTACTCTGGTTGATGTGGCCGTACCGGACCAGTGGGTGCCGGCCCGCAGCGGGGCTGCCCGGCTGCCTCCAGGCGGCAAGGCCGGGGAAGGCGCTCCGCGCACCCAGGCAGCGTCCCGGCCCAGCGCCGGCCCCCTCCCCGAGCCCCCGCCTCGCTCGGGGGAAGCGGCGTGGCCCCGGCGCCCGGCTCGGCGGGCCGCGGGTAGGGCCGGCCGCAGCGGCGGGGCAGTGGCCGGGCGCCCCGGGACCGCGGCGGGGCCGGGCGGCAGCGGCCGAGCTGGGCGGGAAGGCCCCACAGCCGGTTCCCTCTTTGCCCGGCGTGTGATTGGCGGCGGCTCCGGAGCTGCCTACCGCCGGCCATGGAGCCTCCCCTCCGGCCCCCAGCCCGCTCCGCTTCCTGCTGAGGAAAACACCTGTCCGGAGCTGGAGCTGGAGCAGGGGCCGCGGCCACGCCGCTGGGGTAAGTAGCTCCGTCCCGAGGCCCGGCGGGGATCGCCGGCAGACCCTGCCCGAGGCCCGGGCTCGCAGGTGGCGACGGAGGCCCCGACCCCGCGGTGGCGGGTCCCTGCTCCCCGCGGTGGCGGTGGGCAGACCCGCCAGGCCGGGCCCGGCTGCCCCGCGGCGCTGAGCGCGGCGAGGTTCGCCCTCGCGCGGCGACTGCTCCGCTGCTGCTCCCTTGGGCGCTACGGGGCGGCGCGGCCCCGGCCGCCATCTCGGGGCGGCGGGCGCGGCACCGGGGCCCCGCCGTAGTTTGGGTGCGGGAAGCAACCCCGGCCCGCGGCGCGTCTGCAGGGTTTGGGGCAGGCGAAGCCAGAGGCCAGGGCCCCCTTCCAGCCGGGCGTGGGGTGACCGGGGTCAGCAGTGCTGAGCCCCACGGCTGCTGCCTGTCAGTCGCTCCTCGCGGCCTCGGTCCCAGCTCACGTCCCAGACCCAGCACGAGTTATACGTTTGATGCAAAACCTGCACAGGAAACTTAAGACTGTTGAATGAAACAATGTAAGTTGAAGGATCACACGAGACAGTGGTGGCAGTTCCCTCTGGTCTTAGTATCTGTGACTCAGCTCTGCGCCAACACAGCTTTTAAACATAAATAACTGTATTTCCTTATCCAGCAAACTTCTTGTGACTGTCAGGTACATGTAGACCGTAAAAGCTTCCCCCACCACAAATCGTCTGAAGTAACAGCTGAGGGCATTCTGGAGTTGGTTGGTATTGTAGGTTCGGCCGCACCATTACAGTCACTATTAGAAAACGGCAGAAGTTACTATTAGAAAACGGCAGGGAGTACCTGAATAGTGACTGTGTCCCTGCAGAAGCTGCAGCTGCAATCTCTGTGTTTTCAAACTCCATGAAGTGTTGGTTTGAAGGTAGATCACCCATCACTTGTGTAACTTTGGTTAACCACAACTTCACTAGAATTCTTACCAAAATTGTCAGAACCAGCTAGAAGTTACTGCTTGCTCCAGAAGCACCCCAAGGTAGATACCTGGTGTACAAATCAAAATATGCAAAGGTCTGTAGTGAAGGCAAGTGCATCCTGAAATATTACAGCCATAATAGCAGTCAGCATCTCTTGACTGAGATGTTCAGCTTTATCTGCTGATTAGTATACTTTTAGATGAAGAATGCAGCTACATTGCATGTGAAGTTTAGTTTCTAATGGGAACCTGCACTGACTTAATTCCCATGAGAGCTGGTAGTTGCTGGAGGATTTCACAAAAGAACTGGGCAGAATGTTGTTTGTTGTTGTGTTCATGCTTAACTCAGTGGTGCTGTATCTTGCCTGCATAGTTCAGTACTGGATCACTGTAGATGCAGGGAAGATGTATTGTACTCCTATCCAGCAAATGCAAAGCCATCTCTGACTATAGAACAATGTTAGCAAGTAGATGCAGTGTGCTGTCATGGTAGTTTTGTTTGTTGGTTTTGTTTGTTGGTTTTATTCATTTTGCAAGTTAACTTTATCTGAAACTGTGAATGTAAATGCAGCATTATTATATTTGCATGAGGTAATTCTTAACTCACGTAGAAAGTGCCTGCTTTCTCGCAGGTTATGTTGTCTGGGAAGTTGACACCAAAGTGCAAAGAATCGTTTTAAAACAAGGTTTTCCCGTGGTGGATTAAACCAAAAGCAGGAAATAATATAGAATTAGCATGAGAATAGCTGGTGAAGAATGAATAATTGGTAAAACTCTTCGCACAGTCCTAATAAAGCAATGAAGTTTGACAAATATTGTGATGTTATGTAGCAGAATATACTAAGTAATTCATGATAGTACCACATTGTCTTTTTAAGGCACATTTCAGCCAGTGTTTTCAAATCATTTAATAAGTTTTCTCATGAATTTATCTCCTAACTCTACTGTGAATTACGTTTCAGGGTGAACTGTGCGGGCTCCATTCCCTTCCCTTCAGTTCCCATCCCTGTCCTACCACTTCTGCTAGTGATGACTCAGATCAAGGAACTGATCCAGCTGAAAATTAACCAAATTTTTTTGTTTGCTGACCTGAGTGATGAGATAGGAACATGACTGGAGACAAAGGCAAGCCTGTTTGCTTGTCTTAGCTACCTTTTACAGACACACCTCCTTCTGCTCCATTGCCACCATCAGGATTTGTGGCCCTCTGGGAGGTCTAATACAGGGAAATTCAGGGTTTATGCGGCTGATTAGAATTAGACATAAAAAAAGAGATTTTTTTTTTTTTGGTGTTGTTGCAGTAGGCGTATAGAAATGTCAATAAAGTAATGCTAAGGCACGACAAAGGGTGCCTAAAGAAGTGATTTTAAAAGATTTTCTATTATAAAATCAAAGTTTCCTGATGCATATGCATAAGGAAATACGGTTTTGCCATGCCTACACATGGATTATAAGAAAATAGAGACAATTTGGTGTCATCCTGAGAATGGGACACTTTTGTGGCTGTCATTGCAGAGACAGATTAGAGACAATCATTGCTTCAAGAACTGTCTTCTGAAGCTGATGTAAAGGGGTCAGAGCTGAAGTGGAAATGTAGATTGAACTGGACTGGACTAGGCATGACAGGTCAGAGCCCAAATGAATGTGGGAGAAGACAGTCTTGTGTGGGCAGTTAGACAAGCACTTTGCATTGTATCTGATGCAGTTAGGGAAGGGGGGGGATGTCAGAACCTTTCACAGTACTGCTCTACCTGTCTTTTTAAGTGGATCACAGTGTCAAATAGCTGCATTCATCAAGCAATGTGCAGGGTACTTCTCTGCTGCCTGAGGTAAAGATGCTGCTTTGGATTGTCTTGATCAATGGAATAGTTGTAGAATAGCTTAGCAGAGATGGAATACTTGTATGTGTATGTGTTTGAAAAGTTAATCTGTAAGTGCATAGCACATGACAACAAGATGAGGACATTTTAAACCAGCATGCTGTCTTAGCTTTGACAAAGCACAATGAAACTGATATAAGTCCAGGTTTACTTAACAGGATCATCACGACTTTTAGAATGAGAAATATTTGCAAAAAACCTATATAAGCCAGTTGGCATGAAAAAAACCCTTACTGCTAGTTGCTTATGATTAAATGAAGAAAAATACAAGACTACATTACATGTTTTAGAAATTATACTTCATAAGATAGACTCCACAAAAGCATTGCTAAGCCAAACTCTCCACAGTCAGGGCTTTCAAAACACAGGTTTTGCAAAACACATTTTCCCCTTTAGCATTGCTCCTTTTCTTTTCCTACACATCCAGCTCCTTTTCCTTTTTTACATGAAACCAGCTGCTTCCTTCTCCTCCGTCATCCTGGAGATTGCTGTTGAGGTTACTGATGCTCAAGTTTTCCAGCCACTGAGGGCTTTTTTCAGACTGGAGAGGAAAGCAGTGTGTAGTGCTGAGGTGCCATGGAGACTGTGGCTGATGAATGCGTGGAGAATGAGTGTTGGAGATGTCTTGGCCAACGTGTAGATTTCATGACATCAATAAAATGTTCAAGGCAACTTTTCCACTTCTTTTGACATTTCAAACACTGGCTCTAAAAGGTAGAGGGAAATAGGGCAGAGTGTGTTTCCCCCAAAATCACTCCCTGAGAAAAAGAACCTGTGAAGAGAAATCAATCCTAGCTGCAGGTGAGAAGGTGCTCTGAGAAAGAAGGACTATGTCTGTGGTGGAGGGTATTTTCTTTTTTAACCTCTGCAAAGTGTTTATTTCAGAGGTTGTGCATGGCATGTTGGAGGCAGGTAAGAGACTTGTCTTTCTCAAGAGTCAGCATATTTCTGCCATAGGATGTATGCTGGATATTGCTGTTCAGATGGTCAGTATTTCACTGCAAGTGTCATAATGAATAAGGATACAATTAGAGGTTTTTCTGTCTTATCTTTCTGATTTGTATGGGTTTTCCCCAATTGTTTTCCTGTGGGTTTTTTTTTTTTATTTAGTAAAGGAACATCTCTTCAGATTGTAGTTAACCACAAGAATTAGGGTTGGGAGTCCATGGTTTAAATACTTCCTGAATTTTATATCATAATTTCAAGTGGATTTGACCATGTGTTTGTAATTATAAATGGAGGAGTTAAAAATACTAGGAGGAAGATTGCCCTGCAGTTCTATTGCTGAGGTGACCATGCAAGATCCTTGGCAGATACTGTCTCCGTGTGACTTCAGTATGGAGACTGGCTTAAAAAACTAATGAATTTAAGCTGGGAGTCCTCAAAGGACTATCACCATGGAAATAAAAATAAGGAAACATTGCAGATTTAGTTGTCTTTTTTCCTAGTATTCCTATTTACTCATTATAAAGTATTTAGGCTCTCCAAAATACATTGGTTTTAAAATGTTTTATTTTGATTCATTAAATTTATTGCTGGGGTTATTCTTAGTTGCATTTAGAAGGCTTTAAGCATATCTTCTACACATGTGTATTAGAATCAAATTGATGTGCTGTCAGTGTATTTTTACTGTTGTAACAGGAAAACCATTTTGACTTTTTTTAAAATGAGCAATCATATGTATAATCAACTTGGTTAAAACTTCCTTCCTGGTAAGTGCAGCACTTCCTTTGCATCTGGATATGAGGGCGAGCAAGAAAAGCAGAACAGCTTAAACAAAGAACTTTTTGCATAAATGGTCTTCCTTTAAAAAAATAGGAACTTCAGATATCAAACAAATGAATCGTCTTCAGCAATTCAGCCTTTATTTTACGAACAGGTAATATTTCCTTTGTCAGTTATACATGGGGTGTGTCCACAGTCTTTGCTTTCCGGAACTTGAAAAAAGAATTTTAGTTAGCAAACTCTGTTGTTTCAGTTAAATATTTGCATCTTTATCTTCTTGTTTTGTTATCTACTAAGACATCGTTGCATTGGTTTTAGTTTTTTCCAGCTGTTAGAGAAAGATTTTATGTGTAAAATACATTGTCTGGAAAAGAAGTTCAGTGTGTTGCTGTAACTTAGCTTGTGTGAGAATGCTCAGTCAGCGCTGCCTTCTTCTTCCAAGCTCTTGGTGAATCATTTCCACTTTAATATTGTTCAATGGAGATTAACTGTGAGCAACAATCTGTTTTGTTTACTGAAAGCTGATAAGGTAGGCTACCTGTGTTTGATGTTGCTTTACAGGTGTTTTGGGTGTGATTTGATGTATAGGCATCAGCTTAGCAGTTTTTTGTTCTGTAAAAAGCTAATAGTTTATACTGGAAATGTTTACTTTTAAAGTGGATGGATATTATTGGTCAGATGAAATGATTTATTATAAAGAAGCACATCTAGGGGTACTAGGCTTGAATTTAGATGCATATTAATCTGTCTTCAGAAGTAGTCCCTGACTTTTGAATCCCAAGTGCTTTTCTTGCTTTTCAGTCCTTATTCCTCATCACTAAAAAGAAAGGCAGAGGGAAATGGGAATAGGCTCACCTCTGTTGAGTCAGATTGCTTGTTTTGTTACCTTTGGTCATTCCTGGAGCTCAGTGGGATGGCATTCTGATCATGCACAGTTGTCTGTCTTTGATTTCTGTGAAAAGCCACTTACATTAATATAAGCAGCATCAAAATATATAAGGCAGCAAAAGAATCAGTGCTCGATCAAATAGAAGCAAGAACAAATCATTGTGGAGGAAATACGTAGTCAGACTGCTTATCCTCAATGAAATCTAGAAAGGCCATTTAAAAGCTCTATTTTAATTATTTAATCATTAGAGGGTTGCTTTGTTGTTTCTTGGGGGCGGGTGTTGTATTTGGAGGTGAATTGAATAGATTATGTCTGAGGTGGTTTATGTAAATCACTTATTTATGACCAGAGATTAAGACAGCATATACATAGTAGGATTCTGACTGGCCTATGATTTCAATTAAGAAGAGTTAAAAAATAAAGAGTTATTAAAAATGTAAATGAGAAAGTAATGAAGCATTTGTATGTTTTGCTAGATTTCTTCTGGCATGGAGTTGGAGGATGAACTCCATGAACAGCCTGTTGTTATGAGAGAGGAAAACAAACGAAGGAGAAGAAGGATGAAACCTCACTGTACATCGAGTAATTTATCATCAATGGAGCTGATATCCATTGAGTTCATTCTACCTACAAGCAATAAACATACTAAAGTACCGGAAATGATGTTACTCGAAATAGCTGCCAACTGTACGGTTGAGCAAATGAAAGCACAGATTTGGATGCGTGCACTAGAGATGAGTCAAACCACAGACTTCTACCACACATTCACCCCGGATCAGTTTATTTTGCAGTATCAGAAGAAAGGGCAATGGTATGAAATTTATGATAAACATCAAGTATTACAGACACTGGACTGCATACTGTACTGGAAAGTGTTACAGAAAAAGGTGGGCAAGATCTATGTTGTCCAGAAACAAAGCCCATCAGAAGAAGTTCAGGAATTTCAGCGGCAACTTAATGATTTAATCGGTTATGATGTCACTGATGTAAGCAACGTGCATGACGATGAACTAGAATTTACCCGTCGTAGATTAGTCACTCCAAGAATGATAGAGGTAGCCTGTAGAGACCCTAAATTGTATGCAATGCACCCATGGACTACATCTAAGCCACTCCCAGAATATTTATTAAAAAAGATCACTAATAATAACATTTTCATAATCATACATAGAGGAACAACTAGCCAAAAAGTTAAAGTGTCCATAGATGACACTCCAGATATGATTCTCCACAGCTTTTTCACAAAAATGGCAAAGAAAAAGTCTTTGATGGACATTCCTGAAGATCATAGTGAACTGGATTTTGTTCTCAGGATTTGTGGCAGAGATGAGTACATTACTGGAGAGACACCAATCAAAGATTTTCACTGGATAAGGCAATGCCTTAAGAATGGGGAAGAAATCCACCTTGTCTTAGACAATCCCCCTGACCCGAGTGAGGATGAGGTCCAAAAGGAAGAGTGGCCTTTGGTGGATGACTGTACAGGTGTTACAGGGTATCATGAACAATTAACAATAGATGGAAAAGATCATGAGCGAGTCTTTACTATCTCTTTGTGGGACTGTAACAGGAAATTTAGGGTGAAAATAATTGGCATTGATATCCCAGTTTTACCCAGAAATACTGATCTCACTGTGTTTGTGGAAGCTAACATTCAACACGGGCAGCAGCTCCTTTCACAGAGGAGGACTTCATCAAAGCCTTTTACTGAGGAGGTTCTGTGGAATATTTGGTTGGAGTTTGATATCAAAATCAAGGATTTGCCTAAAGGGGCACTCCTGAATCTTCAGATATACTGCGGTAAAGCACAGGGACTGTCCACGAAGACAAACCTTCAGTCACATGAATCCCCCAACTCTGATCCGAAGTGCAAAACTCAGCTTCTTTATTATGTAAATCTTTTGCTAATAGATCACCGTTTCTTGCTACGAAGTGGGGAATATGTGCTCCACATGTGGAAAATTCCAGGCAAGGGGGAAGAACAAGGAAGTATCAATGCAGACAAACTCACATCAGCAACTAACCCAGATAAAGAAAACTCAATGGCTATCTCTATTGTGCTGGATAAATATTGTCACCCAATTGCCTTGCCCAAGCACAGGATAACATCAGACCCCCAAGGGGACAGGACACGAGCTGAAATGCCCAACCAGCTTCGCAAGCAACTTGAAGAGATCATAGCAACTGACCCACTTAATCCACTTTCTCCTGAGGACAAAGAACTGTTGTGGCACTTCAGATATGAAAGCATAAAGCACCCTAAGGCATATCCTAAGCTGCTTAGCTCTGTGAAATGGGGACAACAAGAAATAGTGGCCAAAACATACCAGTTGCTAGCTAAAAAGGAGGTTTGGGATCAAAGCACTTTAGATGTTGGACTCACAATGCAACTTCTGGACTGTAACTTTTCAGATGAAAATGTCCGAGCAATGGCAGTTCAAAAACTGGAAAGTTTGGAAGATGATGATGTTCTTCATTATCTTCTGCAGCTTGTGCAGGTAAGGTGTATTTGCATTCTTGAGCTCTGCCTTCCATGTATATTTGCATTATCCCGTCATCATTCCCATCTTAGTAGGTCTACTTAGTAATCCCTGGGTTTGAAGTCTTTAGTGTTTATTCAAAGCAGTAACCAAATTAACCCAAACCATGTTTTCTACATTTTGCCTCTTGCCTATGTTGTTATTTTTTGTGTTCCTGTTGCCTTGTGTCTTATGATTTGCTCTTGTGTTTACAGTATTATGTTTTTCTGGAAACTGTCAACACTAGCACAGCTATAATGGGAGAAAGTCCTAACTGTGTTGTCTCTAATCCTGTTTGTATCAGGTCTGAATCATATAGCACTGAAGAATTGTTCACTGGCTTTGCCAATAGTTTAGAAAGAGCATAGACAGAAAGAAAGCGGAGGCAGATGTTGACGTGGGCAAAACATGAAGAAAAGTCTGGCATTGAGTTTTAGGTCAAGAATAACAGCGTTGTTGCATAGTATGTTGCAGTAACTTCAGTCTTGGTACTGTTAAGGGAACCAAATTCATCTAGAATTTTCCAGAAGTTTTTAAGAAGTAAATAAAGGGTTGCTAGGACTGCATAATAAAATTAGTTCATTCTGGGAAGTTGGGTGAAAAATGATGTTTTTAATGGCAGTGAATCACTGCTGTATCGATTTGAAGCACTCTGTGTGCAGATTTGCCAGATGAAACATCAGGAAGGTGGTTTATATCAGTTATACAAGAGAATTGGTTTGTTTGCTTTTCCACAACGTGGTACCAGAGCTGGGCAGCCTGTCAGCAGCAGCAGAGTCATGTCTGGTAGCCAGCGAAAGCTGTAATCCTGCCACTTTTCCTGGTACCCACGTCCCCCAAAGCAGGGTGACTCTGCAGGCTTCCCACACCGACAAGGCTCTGGCTCCTGTGGAGGGGCTGTCGCCCCACAGAGCAGGAAATACTCATTTCAAAGAATCAGAAGACAAAAAAAGGCATTCAATATCTAAAAGGGGAAAAAAGAACTGCTGCAGCCAGCGAAGCTGTGGGATAGGGCTTTTAATTTTTGTGGGTTCAGAGAGAGCCCGGATCCCCAGGAAAATGAAGTTGGTATTTCAGGTTTTGCTGCGCATCAGTAGTGCTTTAAACAAAGCCTTTTTTTGCCTTGTCTTTGCTTGGTGAGGCTCCCCAGGCAGAATTTATGCACTTCTGCATTAACCAAAGGAGTCACCGCGGTTACCTCATTGGGCCTCCCACGTAGCTGCTGCTATATATATGCTTGGCTTGTGTGCTTTTGCTGTATACATGTGGCTCAGCAATTGTATTCGCTTTTGTATCCAAATTAGGAGTTTGGGATGGTGATTGGCTGGTTTCAAAGTGCCTGAGAGAATGGGGGAAATACTGGGGTTTTTCCATTTGTTTTTGAAATTACTTGCTTTCAGGAAGTACGAATCTGGAGAGTTTTAAAAAGAATCAATCCAACGGTAAATTAAATTACTGTAACATAAAATCATAGGAGCTTAACTTCACTGTGTCATTTTTACTACGAGATTCGGTAAGAAATTAAGAGACTGTCATCCCCCCAAAGGAAAAAAATGTTATATCCCAGCTTTTGCCTCTTTGCTGCTTCCTTGTCTGTTGTTCCTTGGCTAACAACAAGCATAGTCCATCAGTATCCTGCACCTAAATGTTCATACCACAGTGTACTCGAAAATCCGCATTTTTCAGAGAATGGATGTCAGCCATTCCTTTGCTCTAATGGACACATCTGAGATGTCTCTTCTGCAAACCGTCATCACTTTTCACATGCATGCCTTCATGAAAGCTTTATGACTTACTTCACTCTGCACAGGATATTCCCATTTTACCTCCTCGTAGAGTTAGAAATGAAACAAACATTTTATTTACCCCCAGGTTTATCCCAAATAGAAGCAGCCATGCCATAAATAAATCTATTGAGCTTTCTATAAAGGTCTGTTGTTCTCTGTGCAGTTGATAAAATACAGACAGGATAGTTAAAATACAACAAAATCCATTGTAAAGCAAACACCAACAACTGTTCTGCTTGTGAATGGCAGTGAGTAAAGCTCTTCTCCTGAATTACAGACAAAGGTAGATGCAGGGACCTGATGAAGTGCCAGCAGACATTTTTCAATGGTTCACATTTGTTGTTGCTATTCAAATGTTGATATTTGACTTTGTGAAGAAAAAAGAAAAATGGAATTGGCTTTTAAAAATAATTATTTCTAAAACATCAGCGTAGTAAGGTGTTCAGAATGCAATTTTCTTTTATATTACAATGTCTTTGCAACTGTAATAGAGGGAGGTTTTGTTTTGAAGCAGTGGCTGGTTGTTTGGCTGTATTTCATTCTTAAATTGTTTTTCAGGGATATGCACTGAGAACATTCAGCCAAGTATATACCAGAATGGGGTTTTTAATAGGCTTTCTTGGAACTGTAAGCAAATCCATCTGAATTTATGTAATAAGTATTGCTTTTAGGTGCCTTATTGCAGTGAAAATGAATTTTTATTAAAAAACCCTTCATACCTTATGATCTCATACACAAAGTAAAAGGAATGATATATTTTAAAATCAGTTTATGTTTGTGAGTTCTCGTCATCTTTCCTAAATAAGAAGGTGTTGCCTGGGGAAGTAAAACAATATTGCAGAAATGGTCAAGACAGGTCTTGCAGAATTATGGTACTGTAGAAGGGCAAGTCTGGTGCTTGGCTTTCTTGTCTGTCTCTTAGCCAGCAGCTGGAAAGAACAAGTCTATGTAGGATTTTATAATGTGGTTCATTCTAGAAGGTTGACTGAAAAGCTCTGTTTATTTTTCCTTTTCTTCCTGTTGAACAAACCCACAGGATGATCTGTGTTTCAGAAATAGTGTTGATATTTTAATAATAAAGATACAACTGTGCTGCAGTACTTTTAAGAGTTTATAAACCCCTTCCATTTGTTTGATGAATTCAGTAGACCTTTGGTGATGGCTTGATTGTTTCTTTGCAAGCTGCAGACCACAGTGAACTTGGAAGAGGCATTATATTCTGTAGATGCTTGCCTACTTTGTTACTTCTGAAAGCTGAGTATGCTACATGCACCCAGCTCTCTGCATATCACTTTATTCTCCCTTAATCTCCCTACATGTTGCTTCCTGGTGCTCTATTTCCAGAACCTGAAGTCATTTACCGACCACCTCAGTCCATGACAGTAATTCTGTGGCCCTGTCCCACAGATTGTATGCTTCTTATTTCACTTTTCTTGCCATGAGATATAAATGCATACCTTTTTTCCACCATTAATCTTCATACAAACCTCCTACAAACTTGGAGTCCCTCAAGCAACAGGAAAGAAGCTGCTGGGAAAACCACTGAAGTGGACAAGTTCACTGGCACAGCCCAGTACATGGAAGTGTGGTGTTTTTCTGGTAGACTACTTCACTTGGTTATTGGGATGGGGCAGAGGATGACAGCAACAAAATTCCAGTCCTGACACTTCAAAAAAGTTGTGACTTTTTGTTTCCACCCTTTTTTGGCAGTAGCTTGGAAATACTGTGGGCTTGGGTGGAGGGGAGCGGCTGTTGGAAGAGAAAAATAACATCTGTGCTCACAAGCTCTGGTGAAGTCTTCTTAATTGTACTCATTAATATAGGATGTGTATCAGGGGATTTATTCTATTTTGTCATTCATTTAGGGGCCAAAGGTGCTCCAAAAAGCTGCTGCTGTATCGCATGTTTGCTGGGGAGCCCAGCAGTGAACCCTGGTGCACTGGTCCCAAAGTGGTGGATGTTGTCAAAAAACAGTGTTTTATTATTGACAGTTTTGGTTAGAGAAAGATTACAGATATGTCATTTGATTTGGCAATAATCTTTTGGGCCATGTCAGTGTCAGGCTGCAGACTGTTCCGATCTCACTGGTTTTTGCTACAGCCTGAGAACATAGTTGCTTTGTTCTCATGCTTCCATGTGCTCAAATCAGTATCCCCAGATAGATGCTTCCTGCATGGCTTTATTTGTTGCTTTAATAATATAACTAAAAAGAAACTGTTGCAAAGAAAAAGTGCCGCTTGAATCAGACACAGAGAAGCCTTGCTTTTTGGTTCTTTCAACTCTATAACCTCAAAAGACCTGCTTTGTTACACATCTTCTACTCCTGCAGCAGTGTGTTCTCTAGATGTCATCGGTAAATTGTAAGAGGAATGACTTGTTAAACACATTAATAACATGTCTTTTATGTTTGTATTACTCAGGCAGTGAAATTTGAGCCATATCATGACAGCGCATTAGCCAGATTTCTGCTAAAACGTGGTTTGAGAGTAAGTACTTCACAGTACAGCCAACTTTTGCTAAAGCTACTGGCATTATTAAAACCTTTTGTCAAGAAATGCATGCTGATTGTAGTATTTTTCTTTACCTCTAGAACAAAAGAATTGGTCACTTCTTGTTTTGGTTCTTAAGAAGCGAGATTGCTCAGTCCATGCATTACCAGCAGAGGTTTGCGGTCATCCTAGAAGCCTATCTTAGGGGCTGTGGAAAAGCAATGCTACATGATTTCATGAAGCAGGTTCAAGTAATCGAATTGCTCCATAAAGTCACAATGGAGATAAAATCAGTTTCTGCCGAAAAATATGATGTCACTTCTCAAGGTATTTGCTAACAGGCATTTCATTGTTTGTAACAACATTGTTTTTTCTCTTTGGGTATGAAAATCTAGGCAGCAAATTGTCCTGTTTATTTGGAACATTCGTGGATATATTACTGTCAAATGGTATCATTATTGCTTCTTTTAAACTGCCAGTGTAAGTTAATAGTGATTGAACCAGTAATACATTTGTTTGCTCATTCCACCTCAGAAGGGGAAGAATATCGGTGTTACAGACACCCAGTACGTTCCCATGTTTTGGCTTATCTTCTTGAACCTCACACCATGCACCTTGGAAACAGCTAAGTTCTTGTACACAATCCTTAGTTGAATGCCAGCACTGAAGAAAGAAACAACCCAGGACACAAATATTAACTGGAAATAAAGAGATAAAGTGACACTTGCCAAGAAACACAGCCCTACCCTAAGCAGTACTGAAAAATGCTTGGCAAGGAAACCAGGGAGGAGTCCAGTACAGCCTCTGTTATGCCACAGACTAGCTGGTGGATCAGCAGTGGATGTGCAGAGCACATCTTTAGGGCTTTTTGATGTGCTGAATAGGAGTCTTGTGAGACACAGATGTGGTATTGTTATTTCTAGCTCTTGGAAGCACTGCTTTGGAAGCCACAGTAGGGTTATACAGTGCTTATTTACTTGTGTGTTTTGCGTGTCTTTATTTTTTTTTCCAACTTCTGTAAAAGTGTGCTTGTCATCATTCCTGTTGGTTGCTTGGTGTTGGGAGTAAGTGTGAGAAGACATATGACAATACTCAAATTCTACAGCTCTTCCTGCATGTTCAGCCTAGTATGTTCCAGGAACTTACTAGTATGTTCCAAAGGCTGTCTTGGTTCAAGACAGCCTTTCCACTCTGGTTATGCAGAAGTGGCTGCAGTGGTGTTTGAAAATCAATTTGAAGGAAATATGCATTTAGTCTTCAATAGATAATGTAGTATCAGTTACATTACCACATAGTGTGAGTTAGGGGATTTACAGAACCCCCTGTATAAAATATTCTTTCTAAAAAACTTTATCTTAAAATGCTCTATAATCTAAATGTATCTGGTCAGAATCCCATGTTTTGGAAAGAATTTTAGCCCTGCAGATATACGTGTCTGTAACAGCGGTGGTTTCCATCACATTATCTCTGAAGGATATGTGGGCAAAGAAGAAAAGGTTAAAGAGAAAGCAATCACATTAACACCCACCGGGTTTTGAAGTTAAAGAATCTTTGTATGTAACGTTGTCGTGGTTTAAGCAGAACATTGAAATATGACTTATATAATTGACATTTTCACTGAATAAGGCTTCCTGAAACTGTGGCATGTCCTACTAATGCTGTATCTAATTTAATTTATTCTCAGATTATTGAGGATATGATTTTTCCTACAGCCACCATCTACTTCTTATCTTTTAAGAAATGCATATTCTGAAATTTCTGCTTTAGCTTACTGCTTCTCCTTTGCCCCATCATTTCTAATGCTCACAGTTGTTTATATTTTCAGTCTGAATATTTCACTGTTTCATTTCATTCCATCATGCAGCCTCATCTAATTCTGTATGTATCTTTTTCCTCCAGTAATTCTGGAGTTTTTTAGAGAATAAATTCTTTCCTGTTAGATTCATACTAGTCCAGTAGCAATCATGCTGTCAAACTGTTTTCTTTCACTTTTCATCTAATCTCTTTGCTTATATTTGAACATAGCAAGTAATAATAAACAAATTCTTAAGATCATAATATTACAGCTTGCATAGGATTATCTGCTTTCATCACCACTCTGTGTCTTGTCTCCCAAGAATGTGTCTGTGCAGCAGTTTCTTCTCTTAAAATGCGTAACACTTTGTTCTTAAGCCAGATCAACTTGAAAATTGTTTTAGTAAGTGCCTTCACTTGTGTTTTAAAATCAGCTAGTTAATAATCTTTTACCAGCTTCAATTTTCAAATTGTATGAATTACATTGAACTGAATACAATTACATTGAATTACACTGAATCCTCATTACAATGAGGAGACTTACTGAAATCAAGCTATATTTGTCTAGGAAATCAATAGTTACGTTTTTAAAAGCTATTTCATGGCCCAGGTTACTATAACCTGAGGGGTTTTTTATAATGGCTTGTTTTGGGGTTTGTTGGGTTGGGGTTTTTTTTTTGGAAAGTTGTCTAATAAAGTCCACTTATTGGCAGCTGTACATTGCTGTCATCTTTATTTATTTTTTTACCAGAAGAGATGCTACATTGGTCACCTGGTACTGCTAGGTAGCTCTTTTCTAAAACCCTTTAGGATAGGTGTAACATTTATGTTCTGTGAGTTCTCAGGTAATTATTTTGGCTTGATTATCTTAATTTGATAGCAGCTTTTGAAATGTCATCATTTCTGGACATAAGCTGGCAATGTGCACTTGCAGCCCAGAAAGCTGCTTCAAAAGCAGCATGGCCAGCAGGTCAAGGAGGGTGATTCTCCCCCTCTCCTCTGGTGAGACTCCATCTGGCGTACTGCGTCCAGCTCTGGAGTCCTCATACAGGAAAGACATGGACCTGCTACAGCAGGTCCAGAGGAAGTCACAAAAATGATTAGAGGGCTGGAGCACCTCTCCTATGAGGAAATGCTGAGAGAGTTGAGCTTGTTGTTGGACACCTTATTTCAGCCTTTCAGTACTTAAAAGGGGATTGTAAGAAAGATGTAGACAGACTTTAGCAGGGCCTTTTGCAACAGGACAAGGGGTGGCAGTTTTGAACTGAAGAAGAGTAGTTCAGACTAGATATAAGGAAGACATTTTTTACAAGGAGGGTGGTGAAGAACTGGAGCAGGTTGCCCAGAGAGGTGGTAGATCCCGTCCCTGGAACATTCAAGGTAGAAGGTGCCCCCTCTCATTGCAGGGGGCTTGGACTAGGTGACCTTTAATGGTCCCTTCCAACCCAGACTTTTCTAGGATTGTATGATTTTTTGATTTTGTATATTAGATGTCCAGATCCACATCTAGCTTTCTCATTACGTTTTTGTTCTCTTTAATTTTTATTCCAAAAATTACCTGAACATTTATACGCAGCCTCTCCTGTGTAGTTTCTTTTAGAACAGTGCTCAAGTCTTTGTCCTAATGCAGGGTAAGACATGTTATTTGTATTATATTATATTATATTATTATTATATTAAGCAGCTTATGCTGCTAACACCTGCTAGCTGAGATGAACAAAATGCATCACATGCAGGATAATGCATACTGTTCTAAGCCGAAGATTCAGAAGCTTGAGGTTTTACAAATTCAAAGATTCAGTATATATGAACATTGAAATTCTTGTTCGTATAAATATACAGCAAATTTTCTTCTTACTGGAATGTGAGATTAACAAAAATGCACTATGGAGCCAGTTTTAGGAGAATATGAAATTCAGTATCTCTATAGTTAGAGTCCTTATGATTACAGTATAACTGACTCCAAGAATTCAAAAGCCCTGAATCTGTGTTCAAGAGCAATGAGGTAGGTTAAAAGGATACTGGAAAATGCCAGGTAATTTTAAATGCCTCCTCCTTCTGAGCCTTTAGGGCAGATAGTTTAGCATTTCCTTGGTAATTATAAGTGCAAACTATTTTTTTGTGTGTTGTACTGTGATTTGTTTTTTAAATTAAAGTTGACATTTTAATGTAACCTCCTGAGTCTTCAGAAGAACATCATGCACCCTGTGTAATGGTTACATGACTTGTGAGGTGCTTAAAGACTTTACCCTTAAGGGTCTAAAACCAGCTCTGTCCGTTAATAGTACAAGTTAAAGGGTTTTCCTCCATTGCTCAGATCAGGAGATGCTTGAGGAAAGCCATTTAAAAAGTAACTAAACAGAGAAGGTTTCCAGCTTAAATCATTGGTTTAGCTTAACAAGTTTGATTACCCATAACTTTTTTCGCTTTCCAACTTTTGATTCAGTGAGTTTTCTTGTAATTGCAGTTATTGTACAGCTGAGACAAAAACTTGAAAAGCTACAGAGCAGCAAACTTCCAGAAAGTTTTAGGGTTCCATATGATCCTGGTCTAAGAGCAGGAGCGTTGGTGGTAAGTATATGCTGAGTTTGTGCAAACCCCTTTAACAACCCCCAATGTCCTGTTTGCAAGAATGTGTCATTTGTTAAAAAATTTTGCAAATATGTCTAAAGGTCTAATTTCACTGTGAATACAATAGCAGTTGATGGACTCAGTAGGTTTTTGTTCCCAAAGCTATTAGCGTTTTTCTGAGTGTAATGGCATGCCACCATGCACTAAAAATATGCAAGAACTCATAAAATCCTAATCATTAAATGTCAATTGTGATTTTTCCATTAGTCCAGAATTTAAGCAGCTAACTGCCTTTTTTTTTTTTTTTTTTACATTAAATACCCGTATAAAACTGTTTTATCTGACTTTAGGGGCCTTGGGATATTCAGTTTTTATTCCTCCGGTTATTTGCTCTGTCTTATTCTTATTCTGATTCATATCTGTTACTCGGGTTTCGGTTCAGACCTTCATCTTACAAACAAAAATGTCTTCTTTAGCTATTTCTGATGTTGGGGGGTTGTTTTGTTGGTTTTATTGGAATACATTAAGATTTGGTAGAAATACATTAAGAAGCACTTGGGGTTTTCTGTGTTGCTGCCTCGGGTGTTGTGGTGAGATTTCAATGGTTAATACTGAGTCAGAGTTAAAAACAAGATGAATAAATCAGTAGATGTGTAGTGAAAGGGAATTGGCTCATGCATCTGGTGTGCAGGTTTGGGTGAAGAGGCACAGTGAAAATCCTTGGATTCACTTGTGGAACAAGAAACCTGCAAGAAAAGAATCCCTTGATTTTTCTCTGAACTAATGGCAAACCATCCAGGAATTGCCAAATAGTCAGGTACTCTTTTGGGTAACTAATATTAGTTGTCTAGATCTAGCCATGTTTCAGTTAAATAAGCTTGTGCCTTGATAGATAGGCTGAGAGTTAAACACCAACCAGCTGGGCATGACTGACAGTACTTCTGTCAGTTAATTCAAACATTGTTTAGTCAGAAATACCAAATTTGTGGCTTCTTAAATATTATTTTCTTGATTGTATTTCTCTTTTTCGTGTTTCGTGTACAAAAATCACCAACTGCTTGACAAAAAGTAGATTTCAAAATAGAATAAAAGATCTTTCAGGACTTTCTAGTTTTCCTTCACTTAGGAAGTATTCAGCCTTCCCAAGACATTTCTAGGTGAAGGAAGCCATAGGTTTACAAGGGAAGGTAGCTATGTCCATAAATACATAGGTTAGGGCCTTCTCTTCTTCCCCTGATGACTGGACAAAAATATTTGACATAAACTATATTGGTAAGCTTTTGTTTCATCTTCATTCTGGTAAGTGCTAATTGTAACCTTCAAACCCTAAAATTTGACTAGTCTAAACCAAATATTGGAAGCAAAATCAGTTTCTAATAAATTCAAAGATTTAACATCTTCTCCCTTTTTTAAAGATACGGATGGCAAAAACTGTTTTGTTTTAAACTACAAGTTCAATCTGCAAAACACAAACATTCCAAAATACTCTTCTCTGATGTCATCAATTCATTTTGAGAGCTGATGTCAGCCCTCAAACACTAATGTGCACTTGCTTTTATTATCTTAGATGGCTTTATTGTACATGGTAACGTTCAACAATGAACCAGGAGTTCCAGAATAGAAAGTATTATATACTGCAGTTGTATTAGACGTAATTATCTGAGAAAACATTTGAAATACTGCAATTTCAGTAGTTTCAGTACTGAATTTCTCAAGATTAAAAATGTAATAAAGCAGGGAATTTATTTTCTTATTTTGTGAATGATTATGTTAAATGTGCTTCACAAATGCCATTTTCCCCATGCATTTGAATGATTTACTAAGGGAGTTGAATCAGGCAATCTGGAATAACTGATGTTGCTGGAAGTCACAAGGGTGGGTGATGTGGTAAATTGCATTAGACAATGATCATGTTCGAGTTTTGCAAAGCCTCTGTCAGAGTGCTGTTGTGAGAGTCTGTATTTGCCAGTTTTGTCAGAATCTCTTATTCCTGGTTTCAGATTTGAAGGGTGGAGGGTGAAGGGGGTGTTTTCTTTTTGTTTCTGGGGTTTTTATCTGTCTGCAGCAGGTTTACAACTAAATCCAGTTCTGAGAGTCAAGGCATACTTTCTCCTTTCTTACGGACAGTATTAAAATCTGTGCAAATTCAGTGAGGCTTTATGTGGCAATTGGATACTATTCCTTACGTGTGCTTTCAGCATGTTTCTTGTGGTGTAACTGACTGGAAGTTCGTCAAGTACTCTGTGGCAGGTGTGTAAAAAGGTTGGTTGTGTTGATGTTAGAGTACAGTGGCTAACAAGCAATGAATGTCTCTTTCACAGATAGAAAAATGTAAAGTAATGGCATCTAAGAAGAAGCCCCTCTGGCTTGAATTTAAATGTGCAGATCCAACAGCTTTATCAAATGAAACCATAGGCATAATCTTTAAACATGGAGATGACCTCCGTCAGGATATGCTGATTTTACAGGTATGGTGGCCAAAATGTATAAAATTAATAACATGAGCGTTTTAAAATACTTTAAAGTTGGTTTACTTTTCAGCAGTGTGTATGCCTCACTTTTATTGTCCATATGAAATACAAGGCTGTCTCTTGTTTCTTAAACTGTATGGCAAGGGTGATGTCAAAACTGGGCCTTCTTTCTTGTTCTACAGTTTTTTATGTTAACTGTGCTGTGGGTTAACCCCAGAATGGGGAAAGAGAAAAGGAAGAGTAAAAGCAAGAAAAATTGTGGGTTGAAATAAAAATTGTTTAATAAGCAAAGGGGAAGTGGAAGAAGGTAGAAAGAAAACAAAACAGATGATGCAAAGACAGTCACCCATGGGTAGACCAATACCCAGACAGTTCCTGTTCAAAAGGTTAACCTCCCTAAATCCCCTTCCTCTCTGTGTTATTGCTGAGCGTGACATTCAGCATGGAATGTTTCTTTGGTTAGCTCAGGTCATCTGCCTGGTTGTGACACCCTGCCCCCCCCCCCAGACTCCTGTGCACCCCCAATCTCTTCACAATGGGACAGAATGAAAAAACAGAGGCAGCCTTGGCATGCTGAAAATGCTGTTCAGCAATAGCTTGAACACCACTGTGTTACCAGCATTGCTTTGGTCAGGAACCTAAACCACAGCACCATATGAGCTGCTCTGCAGGAAATTAACCTCTTCCTAGCTAGACCCAGTACATGCTGTTACCCTGTTTTCTCCTGCCATGTGCCGTACATACTTCACATTTAGGTTTTAGAGAAGTAGTCTTACTTAGTGCAAGAGGGACAGTTTTTCTGATAAATCATATTTATCATTTATTTACGCAATGCGTGAAGTTCCAAATGAAAAAGAAATCAGCAGGTAGCATTGCTCTAGTAATATTTCAGTGATTGTTCTGACAAACTGGTTTGTTACCACTTTTGGGGCTATCTATGGGAAAAGTGGATACTTGCTAAGGTGTTCAATCTCAGCTCATGTAAAAACCATGCAATTTATTTATTAATACTTTATAAAACAGTAGAGATTGCCTGGACACAGGACAGATGAGGAAATATAAGCCCTAATTCTGTAACTGATAATCTTGAATGGCTGCACACTTTTGTATTTATCTCTTTACCTGTAAAGCAGAGAAGTAAGTTTAAACCCATCTCAGCAGTCTGGGTAGTGTTATTTGTGTGAGTAACAAGTCATGTCCAAATAATTTCACATAATTTGACATATATTTTTGTTTCTACTAGATTCTTAGAATTATGGAATCCATTTGGGAAGCAGAATCCTTGGACCTCTGTTTGTTACCGTATGGCTGTATTTCTACAGGGAACAAAATAGGTATGTGATCACTCTTCTTGTGTCTGGAAATTCAAAATACCGTGGCTACAGAAGTTGTGCATGGGAGAGCTATTCTAGTATGTGCTCTGGTCCTGAGATACATAGCAATTTAATGCACTTTCTGTGAGGCATCCTCAGTTGTGTCTTAACCATGGTTTCTGCCCTTCTGATGGGTATTCTTCAACTGCTGCACTAGCTTAACTGACTCCGATTCTTGTGCAAGTTCAACTGTTCAGGTCCTGCTGTAAGTTTCTCTTTAATAACAATATTTGGTATAAAAAAAGCAGCAAAAGTGAGTGACTTATTCAAGATGTTTGAGAAGAATAAAATAGAGAAGAGTTAAATAGCAAAATCTTGTATGTTCATTCCCTGACCTAAAGCTTCATACCCTATACAACATAGAAGCAGTGGTGTTACTCAACAGGGTGCTCAGAAAATATTTCTCAGCGGGCATTAGTTCCTGCAGCACAGATGAACTGTTTCCCAGAATTTCAGTTGCTTACAAAGTTTCTGGAGAACCCCACACCAGTGTGGTGGTGTGTAGATGGACTGGGTTGCATGGCAAGTTTTTGACAGCGGAGGAGCTGCAAGGGTGGCTTCTGTGAGAAGCTGCTAGAAACTTCCTCCATGTCCCATAAAGCCAATGCCAGACAGCCCCAAGACAGACCTGCCACCTGCCAAGGCTGAGCCCATCAGTGACAGTGGTAGTGCCTCTGGTATAATGTATTTAAGAAGGGGAGAAAGTTACTGCACAGGAGCAATTGCAGCCATACCGAGGAGTGGGAATACAAGTGAGCAGCAAGTTGTTTTCTGCAGACAGCAAGGTTAGTGAAGACAGAGGGAAAGGAGGTGCTCCAAGTGCTGTGAAAGGGACCCGCACTGGAGCAGCTCATGAAGAAGTGTCGCCTGTGGGAAGGCCCCATGTTGGAGAAGTCCGTGAAGGCCTGAGTCCTGTGGGAGGGACCCCATACTGGAGCACAGGAAGAGTGTGAGTAGTCCTGCCCCTAAAGAAGAGGAAGAGGCAGAGACAATGTGATGAACTGACCACAACCCCCATTTCCCACCCCCCTGTGCTGCTGAAGGGGAGGACATAATAATTCAGGATTGAAGCTGAGCCCAGAAAGAAAGGCAGGGTAGGGGAAAGGTGTTTATTAAGATTTAGTTGTATTGCTCACTATCCTACTTTGGTTTGATTTGTAATAAATTAAACTAATATCCCCAAGTTGACTCTGTTTTTCTCATGATGCTAATTGGTGAGTGAAATCTCCCTGCCCTTATCTCAACCCACAAGCCTTTGTTATATTTCCTCTCTCCCCGTCCGGCTGAGGAGAGCAGTGATAGAGCAGCTTTGGTGGGCACCAGCCAGGGTCAGCCTACCACCGCCGAGCACTTGATCAGCTCCGGAAGAGTTTGTTTCCATCTAGAAATGCCATTACTGATGATCCTCATGGCTCCAAACTGACTCTTTATGGGTGGATTGTATATGTTAAGTATCTGAGCACATCCACACTGCAGTTTCCTAGTATCCAGATGATACATAATTGACTGTAGAGTCAGTTTTGCTGAGCAGTTCTTGATTGATTAGCTGGAGGAAAGCCTTCTCTGTGTAGAAAAGTTGGCCATGGCCAAATGAAGATATTGTGCTGGAAAAAAAATGCTTTGGCTGGTGTAAACAGTGCGCCAGTGAGATGGATTAGCAAGTACAGCTCTGCCATTTACTTAAAGCGTGAACATGTGTAAAAATTAGCAAGTTTGTTAATTGCTGTCATTGGTGTAGCTGGCAGTATGGTAGTAACTGCATGGATTGGTAAAATAATGATAATATAAATATTGCAATGTGTCTCCCATGATCTCCAGCTTTCTAGCTCTTTTCTTTTTCAGAAATACATTTTGCTTTATGGATCAAACAAGAATGAGCTGAGTGCTGGCAGAATTAAGAGCTCTTTTTAGTCTGTCTGTAATGCACTTCCTCTCTAAAATCCATTGCCACATGAAATTTTTGTTATCCTCTCATTTGACTTCAGGATATCTCAGCCCTGAAGGAAACCCGAACTCACTGATAAAACACTTGGCAGTGTGGCACAAAAGAGTTTCTCCTAATATAAGTCTTAAAATTAAATAAATTGTATTGATAGAATTCTAACAATAAAGGAAATTGAACAGTACATATCAAAATACCAACTGTAAATATAAGGAGGGTTGGGTTTCTTCCTCTCCTTAAGTATAACAAATCTATTTTTTTAGAGAGACTTTTCAGATTTAATTCAATTTTGTTTAAAAATGTCTAAGGACAATGTAATGTATTGAAAAAATGGGGGAAGGTGGAGGAATTCTGCCGGTGATCCTAGCATCTTTATATTGAAGTTACTCCATTATTCTTGCATGAATTTGTGATTGACTCCCCATTCTTTTATCTCAAGGAAGTAATTGTTTATTTCCCTGTATGCAAGGGGAGGTGTTAGACTTTAGCATCCTTTCAGCACCACAGTAGGGGCATGGTTAATCACATAAAGACTCCTGTTGGGTTTGCTAAGAATACCTGCAGCCTAAATTAGAAATACCCATTGCGGGACACTGAGGTAGAGCTTATGCTTGTTTGGAAGCAAACCAAAGAGTAGTGGCTTGAAAATACTCTTTCACAGTATTCATATGTGGTTTTCTTCCAAGCTTCTTCTTCCCTCCCTCTTAGTATATCCATGGAACCTGGGGCAGTTTCCTTGTACTGGCACAGGAACAGCCCCCCATTCTGTAGTGAGCACAGCGAACCAGCCACGTGTTTCCCACCTGGGGCTGGCATCCCCTCTTCTATAGGGCTTCCTCAGTCTGCTGAAAGCGTCTGCATTCAGCGCACTTTGCAGTTTTGGAAACATCCATCCTCTCCACTGCTGCTGCCAAACAGACCTCTGCAGGAGGAGCTTTTTCTTCTATGTATCACTGGGAAAAGGCCATACCCTATTCTCTCTCCCTTTGACATCACCATATGTTCCTGGCTCTGGGAGGCAATTATCACTACTTACTATGCTGCAACGCTGCCAAATATAAGCAGTTCAAGCTGGCAGTTAATATAAGAGTCACCTGCTTTAGTACCACAGATCCCCAGAAACACGTAGCACAGTGGCGTTCACTGCTGCACTTCCTCCCAGCTGAATACAACCCAGCTGAGATCCCAGTTAATGAAACCTAGGACTAGCCATACCTACTGAGAGGCATGTCAGTAGTTTAGAAGGATTTGCCAGTTGATCTGTACTATTCCAGCAGCTAACTCTTTCTTTACCATGATACCTTTAACCTACTTACTTTGTCAGAGTAAACTGCACAACATTCTGTGTAGGTTTTATACCACTCTTAATGGCAGTGCAGCAGAGAACGATCAGTAAAGGGTTTTCATTAGCAGCTGCTTTAAATTCTGGGGACTTTTCAACTGCTAATCAACATAGCTGTACTGCGAGAAGTTCTAAATGCAAGAGGAAGCGGAAGATGGCTCCTACAACAGCTCCACTCCCTTGGAATCAAGGAGCTCTTGGCCGGTAGAGGGAGATTTGAGCACAGGCAGGGGAAGCCTTTTGAACAGCTGGAATGGGATCTGGAGCTCACTCCCAGGAGGAGAACAGCAGCTTAACAAGCACAGACCCAAACGCAGAACGTTTAAACTTGTTGGTGTTGGCAGTGGGTTTTGGAGGTCGTATTTCCACGATACTTTTATTACAGACAAATCAGGGCCACTGTCAAGATGGAAGACATACCTTCAGAGGGTATTCAGCCATGACTCAAGCCACGCATGGAAGGCAGAGGCAGGAAGAAAGTACTGCCTTGTTACTCTGCTACTGAAAACTTTGCACATAATTCAGTAATGGCAAAAGGGTAGGACTGTGACTAGATAGAAATTAGTCTGTTTCAGAGAGAGACTGAAACTGAATCAGAAACTGCTTTGAATAACTTTGGGAAGAAAGGGATGTTTTGCTTTGCTTGCTTATCTTTGAGCTGAAGCTAGGCTCTTACCTAGAGGAAACTACTGAATCTGAACCAGAGGAAGAAAATATAGTATTTCCAGTTACCAATAAAGTGAAACTAAAATCTGATCTTCCTCCCTGCAGGGCAGACTACATCTGCTGTTCTTGCCTACAAGCAGGGTTGTGTTTGCAGCCTCTGTTTCTGCTTTTCTGTCTAGCTCCCCCTCCATTGCTTGCCACATTAGTATGAACAGTACAAGTCTTTGTTTCTGCACTGTATTGCTGTTATGTACTGATTTGCTTTTTTGAGGATCTGTGCAGTTTAGGGACCAACACCCAGGGCCCAACAGCCAGAGCTTTCCACCCACAATGCCACTACTGTCCCTCAGCGTGTACTGGTATTTCTGAACCTTTCTGTGCATATGCACTTTAAGTTTAAATTGGATTTACTGCAGGAAGGTTGGCTTTGTTCCTCTGCCACAGCTCTGGCAACATTCGCATCCCTTGGCTGCTGCAGTGCTGCAGCTTCTCTCCCACTCCTCAAACTTGTGAAGTTGGAGAGAAGCAGATGGGAATGTGAATGGTACCTGGGCTTGTGCAGGGGATGAGGAGAAGAGATAGTTCCTCTCCTGGGGAAAAGCCTTATGTAGAGGGTCGCTACTCATCATGTGATTCTTTCCATTATCAAAGGTTTTGTGTTCTCATGAAGGAGAAAATGTAATTTAATACACATTAGTATAGATTTAATAAATTCTTCTAACTTCATCCTTATTTTCTGTAGGAATGATTGAAATTGTGAAAGATGCTACAACAATTGCCAAAATCCAACAGAGTACAGTTGGCAACACTGGTGCATTTAAGGATGAAATACTAAACCAGTGGCTCAAGGAAAGATGCATGATTGAAGAGAAGGTGAGTTCTCTGAATTTTTAAGTAGGATTCTCAAACGCACCATACTAATTCGGGAGCACAGAGCCCACACAATTGTGTCTGTGTTGCTTGACATGAGTTTGAAAAACCCAGTCATTTTCCCTGTACCTGTGTCTGTGAAAGAGCCTTTAGGATCCAGCTGGCAGCTGAGCTCCTGCGAAACAAGATGCTTTAGAAATGACTTCTCTGTCAGTGATATTTAGAAGTGATACATGAGGTGCAGATTGAAATGACATCCAAGAGCACTGGAAGGCAGTGTGGGTTTAGAGAATTAAAAGACAGGTTTGGGTACTCACAACTCCTTTGCTCTGGTAGGTCCACTGACCTACAAGAGAGCTTTCTGCCAGCTTCTTTTCTCAGAAAGCATGGGCAACTTATGGGTATGCTTATTTTATATGTGCTAAGGGATAGAGCGTGCTCACACAGTACGGCGAGTGCCATGCAGGGCTGTGATCTTAATCTTTGCTGTGCAGCAGTGTATTTTATAAGACAGTTGAGAGATACATGTTGAAAGAAAGGCATATGACTTTGAGAATGACTGGATTTGGTTTCTAGCATTGAAGCATTTAACATCTCTAAGGTTTATGTTTAGTTTCAGGCAGCTGTGGAAAGATTTGTTTATTCTTGTGCTGGATACTGTGTGGCAACCTTTGTACTTGGAATAGGAGACAGGCACAATGACAACATCATGATTACAGAAACAGGTGAGTTATTATTTGAGACTGTCATAGAAGAAGAAGGGACTGTCTATACTTAATTAGATTTGTCTTTAATTTTAATAAATAGTGTATTTAACAATGAATTAAGAGATACAATCTGGTTCTGTCAGCATTGCTTACATGTTCAGGTCCTCCTGTGACATTGAAATATATCATCACCCCTTTTGGCTTTCATGTAGGATCTAAGGTATTTATCATTCTTTTCCAAGGATGACTTGTTACAAACTATGTCCCAGGGAATGTAAAACTAATTATTTTTTTTTAGCATCTAAGATCTAAAATCCAAAAAATATCTAAAAAGTCGGGAGCTGTTCAGCTGTCTGAAGTGTTGATGTGGGTCTGGTAGTGTCCAGTGGAACTGTATCTGTGTCAGAATTCAAACGTTACTGGACTGTTTTCACTTTGAGGAACATAATTGCTTTATGCACCTTTGTTAAAAAAACCTAGAAAATGAGTGTATGTGGGGGGTATTGGTTTTGCTACTGAAGTCTGTGGCAATCCTGAAAGAACCACAACCTTTTCATATTACAAACTTCAATAATTCTTTCGGTAGCTGCACATTGATTCATCTTTAATTTTGTAGATGGAACCCCTGAACAAGCCATACATATGGAGGAGTTTTATTTGGTCTAAGAAGTTAACTTCCAGTTTCGTAAACCACTTGCTTCATAGTCTTTACATAATGTTAAGAGACAGAGAATACTTTTGGGCTTAGTTAGAGGCTGCATATTTAGTATTAAACATATTATAGTTAAAGTTTTACGAGTTGAAGGTTAGAGAGAAGTACTACCCTGAAGGCAGAAATGAGCTAATTGAAGACTACAATAAAAAAGTTCATCAGAAGTCTATGAGGAAAAGAAGACAAAGAAATGCTTCCATATAGACTTTATATGTAACATAATAAATATAACATATTATGACATTATATGACTTAACACGACATAACATCATAACATAACAATGTTAGAGCCTATGGACAGAAAATGAGGGACAGGTCAGTATATATGGAGACAGAGAAAGAAAGGTTATTCTGTTGTGGTCAGGATCAGGTTTGCCTTAGTCTTTAACAGGACCTGTCTCGAATGACAGAAGCCATAAAGATGTCAGTCTGAGAGGCCTGCAGAGAGTAGATCTGGTAGGTTTTGAGGACTCTGAAAGTGCCTGAAGTGTTCTTGGCAGTTTATTGTATTTGAGCCTAACTGTAACTTCTTCTCTTTACGAAGGTAACCTTTTCCATATTGATTTTGGCCATATTCTTGGGAATTATAAAAGCTTCCTTGGAATTAATAAGGAAAGAGTTCCTTTTGTGCTGACTCCAGATTTTCTGTTTGTCATGGGGACTTCCGGAAAGAAGACAAGTCTCCATTTCCATAAATTTCAGGTAAATAGTGAATATCTAGCTGCAAATCATGTATGCAGTATTTTTCACCCTCTGAAATGAATATTAGTGTCTTAGTTTTCAAAGGTATTTCCTGGATATTATGTTAATAAAATTTACCAAATAATAATAATATTCTGGGATATTTTAGGCCCAAACAAGAGCAAAATTATCTGTAGCATTATGGGTATTAGAATTCAACAATCCACAAAGCCACACTGGAAAGCTTCAGTTAGCAGTAGACCAGATAGGCGATCCTTTCTTTGTTTCTTGTCTTGATTGTCTTCGTAGAGGGCTTGAGTATTTGTGCAATTAGAGACTCAGCTCTGAGCAGAAGCTGCCACGCAGTGCGAGAGGTGTTCCTCAGCTGGCTTTGCTGGAGTTATTCCTGCCTGGTTCTGTCCTTGTGTTCTGGAGCAAAACACTACTGCATCCAAATAGAAATCTGCAGTGACCCTAAGCTATGCCAGATTCTGATTTTGTGAAGTGAATGGATTTAACACTCAGAAAGAAAAGAATGTTGTTAAAAATCCATTCTGCTGCAGCATCTATTTGCCATTAAGCCCTTCAAAAAAAGCTGTGATTTTCCAAGCTTGTGTAGGACCTGAGGAAAGCAAAATGCTGTTTAGTGTGTTTAATGAAATGGCTGAGAGTGTGGCTGAGCAGAAGAAAATGGATGTCTGGGGTATTAATCCTGTGCTCATCTTTAAGTACTTTAAGTAAGTGCCTGATTTAAAAAGCAGGTTCCCTATAACATCAAATTAAAAAGTCTCCTCCAGAGTGTGAGTCAAAGGAAAAGCCAAACTTAGGTGTTCTGGATTCCCTGTTGATAAACCAGTCTCTCTTTCCCATGAGGAGTCTGGTTTTCTAACCTGAGTACCTGATAACGGTTCTTACTGCTGGATAGTGAATATGCCCCTTTGAACCTGTACACGACTGTACAGCAAATAAGGAAGCAATTGCCATCCTTGAGCCCAGACTTCTGAAAACAACTAAAGATCAAGGTGTGACTTCTGAGTCTTTGTTTTGCACAAGGACTGGCTTTATCACAGTGCGGAGGTTTTGAAGGGGCTTGTAGCTCAAAAAGATTTAAGAGCAGGGTGCATTTTGCTGTGGAACTGCTGAGCGCAGGCTCTCAGAGAAGCCTGTGAGCTGTGCTATAAGCAGGAAAGATGCTGTTGCTGCAGCTGTAAGCCACGTGCAAGTGTGGGGCTGAAACACCATTCTGGGGTGTGTCATTTCATAGAAGACCTCTGTTCTGGAAGCAGGAAATAGTTTAAAATGTGAAGTGTGCTAATGGAGAATTGGAAGACTGTCAACCTGTTAACGTCTGCACTAAGGTAACGCTGTGTTCATATGTATGGATCTTCCAGCTTTTTAGAGAACATCTGACCTTTACTTCAGCAGCCCAAATACCAAAAGCAAAAGGAGGGGATTTTGGTCTTAATCTCTCTTCAGTAAGCCATGCCTTCACCATACATTCCTGGTTTTGACCAAATACATATTTTGTTATTCTGGTACATATTTCTAAATACTGCTACCATCCCACTAGTGCAGATGGTCTAGGAATGCTGCGACAGTGCCAATGTCATTTCTGCTACTGCCATTAACCAGATGAAAGGTAACTAAAATAGTAATAAAGAGCAAGATCTGCATCACATATTTTGCTGTAAAAAAATATGTGCTTTAATTATATGGTCAGAGTACAAAAGTAAACAAAATTATAGCTTCATTTTTCAACTGGCTGATTTCATCATGTTTCCTAATACTGAGGGATTCATTCAGTGTGTCTGCTGGTTCTCTCATGTATTAATGGGAAAGTCTCGTTATTTATCCTTCATTAATTTTTAAGAGCATCTCTCATTGATTTGTACTTCAACTACACTAAAATAGGCTGTACTTTAGAGGAATGGTTTGGTTTTTGCAGGCTTTGGTGTTTTTAATATTTTAAAATATCTACTCTTAAAAATCTTATTTCTCTGTCACCTTTTGGTTACAGTTCATACAGGTGTGTGAGCCGTAGCGCATACTGCAGGTATCAGAGCAAGTTAGTTAAACAAATAAACTTGACCAGAGCATAGTTTGTTATTAGTGGACTTCTAAAGCTGTCAGTGGCTTGGCAATTTGGCTGGAACTAGCAATAAAGCTCATTCCCATTAGCTCTTAATCCAAATGTTGTTTCTCTTTTTGTTTGCGTTCGTTATGATGGTTTAATGAAAACTCAAGGCCCAGGGTTATTAATGACATTGCAGAAATGCTTAGTAGAAAGCAGTATTTGATGGTCTTTCATCCTAATTGCAAAAATGTATTTAAGCATGACTTCATCTGAGAAGACAACTATTTTTCTGGTCCATCTATGAATTTTCCAGCTGCCTTAGTACTGTCCAGATTTCTCTTGCTGTAGGTGTCATACGTGGTGGTATTTCCTTTCCAGACTTTGGTTGAAACCAATGCAGCTGTCTTAAATCCTATGCATATGCAGCTTTTCACTTCTTACTTGTAGAAAGATCTTCATAGTCTTTTGAGCTTTGGCCACTTAGTTATTATTAGTTTGCCTAAAATTGTCTTTGATAGTTTTTGCATTAAATTTGGAATGCATTTTTTGTTCATTATATTTGATTTATTTGATTCATTATTTTTTCATTACTCCGCCACCTTGATACAGAGAGCTGTATTTTCAGTACTAGTACAATTCGTCTATACCTTTTGCTTACAAAAGCTGATCTATTTGATTCTCAAATAAAGGTGACAGAAAGCAACGGGGTTTCCAGTTCGTCATTGAAAAATACTTCTTTGTAGTGTGCTGTACAGGGAAGGGATGGCCTGTGTAACAGAGCTTGGATACTTTATATTATAAAAATGCCTGACCTTTAGGATAACAATACTTAGGACAGTTTCAGGGTCTCAAAATGATTATTGCCTGTTGGACAACAGGATTTTGGTTTATCCTCAGTTCCTATCATTTTGCCTATGGCTTTAGATTAGTTAGCAGCTTCCTTCTTAATCCCATGGTAAACATCTTGACACATACGTATGTGTTATTTTTGGTTCTCTTTGCCTCTCTTGGAAGTGTAAAAATCAGTTTCCTTGGAAGATGTTAATTCAAAACTCCATTCAGCTCCTGTCTGAATAAATAACTGTAACAGGCAGATACATGATTTTTTCATCCTTTGAATTCCTGGAAGGAACTGCCTTTGAGATGCAGCGATGCCAGGTTCTTGACTGCATAATTGTTTTCTGTCTCAGACACCTGCAGTAGTGAGATGCATCATCCATACTGAAATGTAAAACCTTCTTTGGTATAACTATAAAGAGCTTTCATCCCTTTCAAGGGGAACAAAATGCACACTAACTCTTGTGACAAGATTTCCCTGTTTGAAGTTGATAATACATAAGCAGAATTTCTTTTCTTTTTTCTTTTCCTCTGGTGTCATGGAGAGAAGCTAATCTCTGTGATAAGATGATGGTGCTTTCTGTTGTAAATTATGCTTTGTCCATTGCGGTTTATCTTCTGCTTTGCTAGAGCTAAACTAACATTAACGTTCGTAATTATGATCTTATTTCAGGACAGAATTTATTGGGAACAGGGAAAGGTTTAACAGGAAAAAAGAAACCCTAGAGACAGATCTTTGACATAGCATCTTCCTTATTATCTTCCTAATCTGTCTGGTTGGTTGTCCTGGTGTTTCTGATGGGAACAGTGACAGATGTTAAGGTTATTTATGCACTTCTTACTGTTTCTAAGGAAGAAAAAACCCATACGCCTTGTCAAAAATTAAACTGTGTTCTAGAGGGCTGATGAGATTTGCTGGAACTTCACATGAAAATATTTGGCTTTCTTAAGAATTCTTTAATAAATTCATATACATTTGTGGAAAGGTTAAATTGAATATTTAATTGGGTAAGAAATACCATGCTTCAGCTTTGGTTTTGACCTTCTTGGAAATATTTTTCATTGTTTTACATTACTGCATTGCAGGCCCTATTTAACTTTCTAATATATGACTGATTTCTTCATGGCATTGTCTTCCTTAAGATGTTATTTCTAAAACTAAGTGAGTAATAAATTTAATATAAGAAATAATCATTTCATTTTATGTATTAGTCACTTAGCATTAAATCTCTTTCAAAAAGCATAGCTCATTTTTCCACACTGCAGAAATTTTGTTCTTCTAAAGGTTATGCTGTTAAGCACAGATTACTTATATATGAAAGTGGAAAAGCAGTGAAAAATAAATCTCTGGAATCCAGTATGACAGTACGGAAACATGGAAGTCCTACAGCAAGACAGTGTGCCTGAAAACTAGAGCTGTCAGCTGGAAAAATGGCTCAGAACACCAAGCCTGAAAAATCTTCCCCATTAAATAAGCCATCATCTCTGCAAAGTTAAGAGATACATGTATAAAATGAAGAACAGTCCCCTGGAGGTACTGCTTTATCTGGTATCACTTGCCATCCATGGTCTTTAAACGGGAACATACCAATTGGAAAGGAAGACAATGAATTATCTCTTGTCTTTTTTAATGGCCACAGAAAAAGATTAGGAAAATTAATTTGGAATTTTGGTGAAGGTAAGGTTTTGTGCTTCAATAATTAATATGCTATTATTGAAAAGAGCTGTAGTTTGTACCCTAAAACAGTTCTTGTTGCCCCAGGGTGTGGTGGTGAGCAAAATAATACCAAGTAACAGACGCAAAAGTTGACTTTGTGTTTCTGCTCAGGTAAACAGCTCTGTTGGGTCTCCTCTCTGATGTACTTGAGTGATTGAATAGTGTTGGTGAATAGTCCTGTGAAATTCCTACACCACCCCTCAGTTCACCTCATCAGTTAACAACAAATTCTTCTCTCTTGTAGGATGTATGTGTGAAGGCTTATTTAGCTCTTCGACACCACACAAACCTGCTGATCATCCTGTTCTCCATGATGCTAATGACTGGAATGCCCCAGTTAACCAGTAAAGAGGATATTGAATATATCCGGGATGCACTGACAGTAGGGAAAAGCGAAGAAGATGCCAAAAAGCATTTTCTTGATCAGATAGAGGTTTGCAGAGATAAGGGCTGGACTGTGCAATTTAACTGGTTTTTACATCTTGTGCTGGGAATCAAACAAGGAGTAGAAAAGCATTCTGCTTAATGTTTTATGTAAATGACGTGTGGGTGTGAATAGGAGGTTAGTGAAACTACGTGTTATTTATGAATTCAGAATAAATGAGCAGTCAAAATTGCCTTTACTTTGCTGGCAGCTTAAATGGATCTTCTGAAAAGGCAAGAACTTTTGCTCTGCCCCTCCAGAAGACCTTCCTGCAGTCAAGATTTTCTTTGTTTTTTAATGTCCAGTGACACTTCATGTTGCTGGATTCCTTTCCCTAGGTGCTTCGCTGGTGTGGCCTGCATTTTTCTTGTTTTCTTTAGCAAAAAAATTTGGATAAATATGAAGGAGGAGCTCGAGTAAGATGATCGCCTGCAAATTCAAATGGAAATCCCCTATGACATTAATTGTTCATGAGGGTCAGGCCCTTCAAAAGCAGAAGGATTTATTTCGTATCTGTAGTCCTCTTGAAATCCCTGTAGGCAATTCACTTCTTTCTCAGGATGGCTTATGCTCAAGTGTTCTTCACCCACACCCTTCTCTTCTCTCCCTTCCTTAATACTTTGTCCTGTTTGGATCTTAAATGTCAGTAGAAACAGCTTTGGCTCTGCCACTAGAGGAGATAACCTTACTGTTATTGTAGCCTCCTGACATAGACAACTGAGCTTGACTGTCCTGCCAGGAGAACTTTGGAGTTACCTGGAAATTTCTCAGGTTTGAACCTGGAATTTTGAAGGTTTCATTTTGAAAGTTTTTTACTGTATTTTCTAATGAGGAATGTCCATATTCTATTAGAGATTCTGTTCTTACTGTAAAGTTACTAAAATTCCACCTGGTTAGTAAAAGCTGTGTAGAAAACACGTTGGTACTTCCTTATTACTGAGAAAACTCCTTATGTAAGAGTAATTGCCATTTTACCAAATATTTGAAAAACCCAAAGTTATTTATTCTTTGGAGATATATTTTCAGGATATACCTAGAAAGAATTAAATGTAATCTTTGAAACTGTGTATATTTTGCTATTTATTTTTAAATCCCTTAAGAGATTCTACTACTGAAAAAGCTATTTATGAAAGAAAAAAAACTTATCTTGAATTTCAATATTTAAACTGAAAAGAGTTAAAAATGGGCAGTGTTAAATAGAATCTTAACTAGAATCTACTGTAGGATACCTGCAAATCATCAAATCTGCCTGTGGTAGGACACGAAAAAAACAGCATGAATTAGTGTTTGACTTGAATTATTATGGTATACTTCCTGCTAATTGATTTTTACCAAAGAGAGAAGATGGCTTAACAGTATTGCTTTTTTGCACTTGTGCCTATGTAATTTCTTCTTTCATTGTAGTGTTACATGGGTTGTACATTGCATATCAATGATTAACTGAATTCTGTTACCATTTGCTTCGATTGTGTCACAGAACTGTTCAGATTTTAACTACTGCTACCACTGTTACTACTGACTGTGTTCTTGAAGGATTCCTAATAAATGTACTGTAATTGGTGTCTCAGTTACGAGACGCAGCCAACCTATTCTTGAAGTGTAGATGTTTGGTCGGTTACTGTGCACGGCTATCTTTGATGTATGTGGCAGACGCTAGCTAAGGAAATCTGAAAAGCTAAAATGTATTCTGTTGTTCTGTTCTGTTACATTATTATTCTGCACAAGATAGGTTTAAGACCATACTAAAATGTAAACTAAATGGTGAATATTGTCTGTAAAATTATATTTTTAGATTTGTATTTTATAGATCTGAAATAAATTGACATGTTCTGTTTGTTTGCTTAGCATTCATGAGGAAGCAGCTCAGCCGAAAATACATGCTAATATTTTTTATTCAGTTACTTGAAGACTATGTAAGTTCAGTAAGAAATCATATTTGGAGTCCCACTGAGAGAAATTGGTTTAGTTCCATATTAATAACTCTGTATGATGTCAGATATCACAATTTTAATAGTCTAGAGTATTAGAATGGCAATTATGATAATTGTAAAATGTGAATAGAATATTACCACTTTCTGAGAGCACTTTATCCATTCCTGGTTTGTTCTAGAAGGAAAAATCCGAAGATTTTAGTGAGTTTCTGGTTTTTAAAAGTAGATCTACTGCTAAATTTAACTCCAGCAAGGGGAAGTAGATGCTAACCATGACTTTGAGGGAAATGGCCTCCTTTTGCAGACAAAAGGTCTACAGGAGATCTGCACCCAGAGGAAAAGCAGTTTATCCTGCACTAAGCTCAGTCTGATGGCTTTTATCAGCAGTTTACATTGTGATACGTTGTATTGTATACAGTGTTTGTTACAGACATCTGAAACACCTCTGGGATGAGATAATTAGCAGACTTCCATTACTTTCCATGAAGCCTGCGGCTGAGCTGCCTGGGAGGTGCTGAGCTGCCTTGTGTCTTCCATGGAAGACCCTCTCTATATTGGGCATGGGGTGTTTTGCCAGCCTGGCTTCTGGGAGAACAAAAGTAGCTGCCAAATCTCCTTTTTACCTACAGAACAAGCTATTAGGCAGCTTCCCAGCACATTCGTATGGCTGAGTTGGCTGTATACCTTTTGGCTTTCCTGCGCCTCTGGAAACCTCCATCCACAACTGACTTTGTTCTCTGGCAAGCCCTGACACAAGGGCAGAGGTGTTTTTTGGAGCAGCCCAGCTTCAAGGTGGAGTGGAATTGCTTTTCTGGTGGGGAGATGGGCACAAGTACACCCCTGCCTGTCCCCATGTAGGATACAGCCATCATTTTCTGCAGTGATGGCTGCATACCCAAGGCCTTGAAAGCTGGAGCCTTAGCACAGCCACCACTGCCAGAACATGAAGCTGAAGCATGATTTCCCCATGCTTGGGCCTAACATCTTCCAGTGCATAAGCACACCAACCCTTCAGAACAGCTGGTTTAGAGGGACTAGAAAACAGAAGATGTGAATCAATCACTAACCATGTTTTTTCCCAGGCTCTAACACAGCATGCAGAGACAGAAAATGACTACGTTTTCTGAGTAGGTCTCCATTATCATCCTTGTCTCCTGTTAGCCTGGAGAAGAGGAGGCCCAGGAGAGAGCAGCCTTCCAGTACTAAAGGGGGCCTACAAGAAATCTGGAAAGGGGCTCTCTACAAGGGCATGTAGGGACAGGACAAGGGGGAATGGCTTTAAAGTGACAGGGGGGAGACTGAGATTAGACATTAGGGAAAAAAGTCCTTATTGTGGGAGTGGTGAAGACACCAGCACGCACTGCCCAGAGAAGCTGTGGCTGCCCCATCCCTGGCAGTGTTCAAGGCCAGGTTGGACGGGGCTTGAAGCAACCTGGTCTAGTGGAAGGTGTCCCTGCCTGTAGCAATGCGGGTTGGAATTAAATGGTCTTGAGGGTCCAACCCAAGCGTTCTGTGATTCTACAGTTTTATGACTATTTTTTGAAAATTGCTTTTAATGGCTACTTTTTCTTTAAGATGTATTCTGTTTTTTTGATAGTCTGAATTCACATCACTGCTGCACCTAACCATGGAAATTTGAATCTATTCTTAGAGTCAGTGTTTCAAACTCAGTTGCGACTTGACGTATACTTTGGCCCCAGCAAGATCATTGAGATGCTGGTTAGCAATGAGTGTGTCCCCAAGGTTCCAGCCTCATTATATTCCAGGATGGGAAGAGAAGTTGAAACAGAGCTGAAGTGTGATTATATTTAGATCTTCATTGAATACACTGGTTGCACTTGTTAGAGATATTTAATCTATCATTAGCAGAATATTTAGAATCATAGAATAGTTAGGGTTGGAAAGGACCTTAAGATCATCAAGTTCCAACCCCCCTGCCATGGGCAGGGACACCTCACACTAAAGCATGTCACCCAAGGCTCTGTCCAACCTGGCCTTGAACACTGCCAGGGATGGAGCATTCACAACTTCCCTGGGTGACCCATTCCAGTGCCTCACCACCCTGACAGTAAAGAACTTCTTCCTTGTATCCAGTCTAAACTTCCCCTGTTTAAGTTTTAACCTCTAAATTTAGCCTTATTTAACACATATTTAGCACAGTTTCCTCTAAAATGGGACCAATGACACAGAAATACAGATATGAACAACTGATGAGAAAAATATCAGTGTAAATTATAACCTTTAGAGTATTTTTCATGATCAACCTTTTTTACAGGGTACTAGCAGCATTCTGCAAATCTGCATGAGTAGTTCTCGGGATTATGTAGGTGACAAACTCTGTGTTGGTGACTTTCTAGCATAGTTTAAGTAGTCTTGAATATAAGAAACTATTGAAATTAAAATCTGGGATACCAAACCACCTGCAGGGGCTGGTGGGCCCCTTGAGTACCACGGTGAGACTGAAGTATCTGAGAAACACTGCTGTGCTGTCATGAGTCTTCTTACTGCAACTTAGGCAATGCCTGTTGGAAACAGCACTCCAGAAATTGCCTGTTCTCCTGGACGGAAGTTTGCACGTTCCTGCCGTGATCACCCCACTCAGCATTTTGGAGGCAGAATTAGCCATAAAAGTACTAATGTACCTTTAAACTTTGTGGCATGTTTGCAGAAATAGGATTCATGCTGGAGAAAAGAAAGCAGTTTGTCTGCAGTTACTCCATTAACACTAAGGACAAATCAGAGATAAAGGTTGTAGATGAAGGTTATAACCATGTGAGGTTTGTACATCATATTAGAGATAAGAAAAGGTGACCCGCTATAGTATGATACACCCTGTATGGTTAGAAGGATGTAGCGTTTCAAGCATCAGCGTGTTATACCCAGCAAGAGTGAGGCTGGTGTTCTGCCAGTTGATAATGAGCAAGTGGGCACTTGACAGGAAAAGCTCTTTCCTTCCTGCCCCTGGGAATGGGGGTTTGTCGTTTTGGAGGGTGTATGGCAGCACCTGACATGGCAAGAGCCCTCCTCAGGCTGGGAAAGGCAGGGAGGCAGCATTTAGAAAAGTACCATTTCTCAGGTAATCTCCTGGGGATTCAGAAGAAGAGGCTGTCACTTTGGAAACAGCAGCAGCACAGTGCCAGTTAATTTTAGCTAACAAAAGAGACCTGCGTATGGCAGAAGAGCTATATTGAGTGAGTACGAGCACATCCCACACTTCAGTGCAATCTCTCTGGTGTTCAGTGTTAGGAGTCACAGTCTCCAGGTGCTG